TCCAGGACTTGGGGTGGCACGGTGGCTCAGTGGTTAGCACTGCTGCCTCACAGCACCAGGGACCTGGGTTCAATTCCACCTTTGGATGACTGTCTGTGTGGAGTTTTCACGTGCTCCCCGTGTCTGTGTGGATTTCCTCCGGGTGCTCCGGTTTCCTCCCACAGCCCAAAGATGTGCAGGCTAGGTGGATTGGCCATGTTAAATTGCTTGTAGAGTTCAGGGATGTGTAGATTAAGGGGATGGGTCTGGGTGGGATTCTCTGAGGGTCAGTGTGGACTTGTTGGGCCAAAGGGCCTGTTTCCACTCTGTAGGGATGCTATGATTCAGTAACTTGTCCAAATACCAACCTCCAGTTCAATGATGGAGCTCACGACTAGCCATGCTGAAGCTGGGGTACCGTGGGTAATGTTCATTGCTCATGTTATTGGAATAGCAATCCAGAGGGCAAGACTCCAGGCACCACAGGATCTGGATAGGCGGAGACTGCGGGTATAACCAGCAATGCATGTGGGGATCCTGGGAATATCCTGAAGCGCTGAGCTACATGGGAATTGCTCAGGAAGTTTCAACTCACAAAGGGTTTTTCACCTGACCACAGGGCCTTCCACAAATGTCCCTGCCTCTCTGTTAGAGTCAGAGACTTTAGATGTTCTGATGTACTAATAATTAGCCAGGAAAGTTTGGACAGGAAGAAACCCAGCTCGACTTCTGGGAAGCTCCGGAACCAACACAATCCAACTACCCCCAATGTGATGACTCATGCTCCCCCAACCCCTCCAATATGGCTACTCCCCCACTCCTCATTAGCCCACTAACTCACCTCCATCCATCTTACACACTTCACTCACATGTCACACCCATGTGACCTACCTTTGCACACAATCTATCAACCTACCCACCTACTAATTCACTCTGTCACACTCTCATCTGTCTACTTCCATCAACATCAACAAACGCTGTACGTTTAAGCTTGCCACTCACCTACGAGTGCCATAAACAGTGTAAGGGGTTGCGTGTTCTGCCTTTGCCCCTCACTCTACACTGCTTTAAGAAAATCCTCTGCTGGATCTGCGTTCCGCATTTTAGATACAGGGAGGTGGTTTCCCCTTCTGGGCGACTCAGTCCTAGACTCACAATAACCAGCCACCCATTTAAGACAGTGATGGGGAGGAATGTCTTCTCTCAGAGGCTAGTGAACCTGTGGAATTCTTTACCGCAGGCGGCTAAGGAGACTGGGTTGTCAAGTATATTCGAGGCTGAGACAGACAGATTTTTAAACAGCAAAGGAATCAGGGGTTATGGGGAAAAAGCAGGGAAGTGGAACTCAAGCTTATCAGATCAGTCACAATCTCAGGGAATGGTGAGCAGGTTCAGTGGGCTGAATGGCCTATTTCTGCGCCTATCCCCTTATGGTCCCAGGTTGTATTTACGTTTGCCCTTCCTTTCTCTGGAGGTGCCGGTTAATCTCATTAAGTGCCTCTCTGAAGTTGCCTCTCCGAAGACTCCACTTCTTTGACCTGCGGCGTTTTCCGGAAAAGATCGGGCCTTGCCCTGGGGCCTACATCAGACTCCGTCTCAGCGCAGGAAGTCAAGTGGCTCATTGGTTTAATTTCTCCTGCGATACAATTCAGCAATGGGTTGACTTAATTTCCGAATCAAATCCATCTGGAGAGGACAGCTTATAAACACCAGAAAATCCTTTCTGTTTGAGCATCTTCATGCCTTTAGGGAGAACACTCTGACCCTGGATAGATTTTTGCGATGAAAGTTTATTTCACAGTTGAGTCACTTGGAAGGGGACCCAGACCAGAGGGGTGAGAAAGAAATGAAGACATGATTTGTGTGCGAATATGTTTTTAGTAAATGTTTGCTAGAGATAATGTTTCCTCACATGAGTCTCTTGGCTCGAGAAGGCATTTCTGCGTTGGTTTTAAAATGTGGTGTTGTGTTGCAATCGAACTCTTTAATCTGAGGGCCTCAAAATTGTGAAATATCTTGCCTTCCATTTCAAACCGCACCCCCCCCCACTCTCCACAAGCTTTTATCGACCTCAGTTCTGCTTCATAATTTTCCTCTCTGTTGTGCGACCTCAGTAGCTGTCCATCAGTACCATAGTACCTCAATCTTGAGTCAAGAGGTCATGGGCCCGTCCTCCTAGTCCTGAGATGTGAGCACATCGATCTATGACACTACAGCAACAGCACTGAAGGGAAGAACTGCCTTTTGGACTAGACTGCTCCCTATCGTTGAATCTAAATGATCAAGATTACCCAGATTCCTGGTTAAAATATCCCCCTCACCCAGCTTACCAGAAAGTAGATTAATTGCTATTTGTTCACTGCTTCTGAATGCTTGCTGTGCACAAGTTAACTGTCCTCTTTTGCAATGACTAACAACCTATTAATATGTATTTAGCCTTGGAACTTTCTCGGATGACTCAAACAGGGGCATAGGATGGGCGGCACGGTGGCTCAGTGGTTAGCACTGCTGCCTCACAGCGCCAGGGACCTGGGTTTCATTCCACCCTTGGGAGACCATCTGCGTGGAGTTTGCACGTTCCCTCCATGTCTGCGTGGGTTTCCTTCAGGTGCTCTGGTTTCCTCCCACAGTCCAAAGATGTGCAGGTTAGGGTGGATTGGCTGTGGGAAATTGCCCACAGTGCCCAGGGATTTGTAGGCTCAGTGGATTAGCCATGGGAAATGTGGTTATGGGGAGAGGGTAGGGGGCTGATTCTGAATGGGATGCTCTTAGGAGGGTCAGTGTTGTCTTGATGGGCCAAATGGCCTCTTTCACACTGTAGGGATTCTATTTAGGATCAGGAGTAGGTCAGTTGGCCATTTAAGCTTGCTCTGCCATTCAGTAAATACGTGGCTGACCTGGTGTGTTCTCAGTACCACTTTGCTTCCTGTACCCCATTCTCCTTGACCATCTTGTCAGTCAACAATCAATTTAACTCAATCTTCAATAAATTTAAATTTAAACCTGGCCTCCACCAGCTTCTGAGGAGAGAATTCTGTTCTATGTAGAATGGAACCAAACGGACTAGTGGGTGATTTGGAATGCTACCACCAATCCTCCTTCCTGTTCTTGTAAAATGAACCTTACGCAAGTTAGACAGGCCCTGGTGGGACGCCACAACAAAGACAAAACCAAACAGTCTGAAATATATCAAAATTAAATCAAATGTCATTGTCAGAGGCAAACATTACTTTGCACCACACGACTTACCTCTGAGGATTCGGGACAAGTTCACCTCTCACCTTCCGTACAGTCTCTGAGGATTCGGGACAAGTTCACCTCTCACCTTCCGTACAGTCTCGACTCAGAGTAGGTGTCCTAGTCCCTGGTGTGTGATTTGAAGCCACAACCTTTTGATTGTGAAATGACTGTGTCACCCAGTGAGCTGGGGTGACCAATTACTCCTTTCACCCATTTAAAATAAACCTGAAATAAGGTTAAGCAGCCCCAGATGGAGCACCGTGACTCAAACATCATTAAATGGTTAATGGAGAGCTATAAAAAGTGAACGGACACTTATCAAATCAAAATAACATTCTCCGGGGTGATGATGCAGTGCCTACTGGTCTCTAAACACCTGTATTGTGCCAGGGGGCATGTAATGCTCCTTCTCCTGGACCTCCAAGTGTGGATGTAACTGTTAAAAGTGGGGCAAATACTCGAGAACCATGACCCCCCTCCTGGACCATTGCCTGGACGTATTAATGGCTATTTTGGCCAAGCCCAGGAGCAGGCCCACGAGGAGTGCCCTTTGACCTCCCCATCCCTCCCGGGGTGCCCTGGGCCTAAGGGCCTGATTGGTTAACAATGGTGGAAGATGAGCCACGAGTGACCACTAACAATGGGACACACTTATCTAAGCCACAAGGAGTAATTTATTTCATGATGGTCATACATGGTTTGTTACACATATTTACTAAGGCTGTCAGGAACCAGGGACAATGTATCTGAATCCATCAATATCTTGAGCTGGATTTATCATTGTATACCCAACTCTGTATGATATCATCAGAATGGGTGGAGCATAGTGCAGTCTTCAACATTAACTCTTTCAGAACCATAAACAAGAACACCGACCCTCTGAGGGAAAGAAAGAACTCTTCATGTCTGTTGTGAAGGGAGACCTCTTATTCTTAAACCATGCCCCATGGTTTTAGCCTCCCCCCACCCCCCCGCCCCCAACAAGAAGAAATATCCTCTGGGTATTCTCCATATCCAGTTCCCTTAGACTGTGTATATTTCAGTGCAATCAACTCTCATTCTTTCAAACTCCAATGGGGTGGCACGGTGGCTCAGTGGTTAGCACTGCTGCCTCACAGCACCAGGCACCCGGGTCTGATTCCACCTCCAGGCGACTGTCTGTGTGGAGTTTGCATATTCTCCCTGTATCTGCATGGGTTTCCTCCGGGTGTTCCAGTTTCCCCCCACAGTCTAAAGATGTGTAGGTTAGACAGATTGGCCATGGGAAGTGTGGGGATGGGGTCTGGGTGGGATGTTCTTTGGAGGGTCAGTGTGGACTTGATGGGCTGAATGGCCTGCTTCCACACTCGAGCGATTCTATGATTTAATGGAATCAGGCGCAACCTGCTTTTATCTTTCTTCATCAGCTGAGACCTTCATCCCAGAAATGAGTTGAGTGAACATTCTCTGATCTTATCTCAGAATTAGATAAATGCAAGACTTTTTTCCTATTCATCCTTTTCTTCTTCCTTTTATTTTCTTCATCTCTTAATCTTTTCGGTTTTGATGGTGTCGTTACTATGGACCTAGGTTTCTCAATGACAGAAATTCAAAGGGGTTTAAAGTTACTTGATTTCTGTTTTATAGGCTGGAATTGCAGCATTTAACAAAATAACCTTGTGATAAGACTTTCGTTTGCTGAATTGGGTTCACCACAGGCGGTAATGCATTACTCCATTCTATTTGATTCGCTTTGCTAGCACAGGTAAGATGTTAAATTACTCACTGCTGATGTCTTACAGGAGAAAGAGAAGAAATACATGCTGCCGCTTGACAACCTGAAGTTACGTGACATAGAGAAAGGATTCATGTCAAGTAAACACATCTTCGCTCTCTTCAACACAGAGCAGAGGTATGTAGTCTCAGTCTGTAGTTACTCCAGCGGCTAGTGGGAGGGAGATGAGACTAGACAGTGTCTAACCTGAGGGAGCTTTGGGCTACCCCCATATGACAGGCCCAGATTGAGTGACAGGTAGGACTTCCATTGAGCCTTGCCCCATCCACCGTGTAGAGGAGATGCCATGATCATTGGTCTGTTTCATGGACACAGTCTCCTCAGTGTCAGCCAATGGCGGGAGAAACACCTGACTGTTAACCATTGCAATGTCTACGCCCAATGCATCCAACATCTGGTTGAAGGGAGGACTCAGAGGGAGGTTAGGGAGATCCATAGAAAGAGGAAAAGCATGCTCCATCCGAACCGGTGAGCTGATGATTTTCACAGGCAAGTTTCATAATTAGAAAGAAATTATTTATAATGATCACTTTCTATTGAATGTTAACTACCTGTAGGCTTTGGAAGCAGTTCAGAGATCATGTGTGGGAGCTAAACAGGCAGTGATTGTGAATCTTTCAGTTACTGGATTTCTGAAAGACTCCCTTTAGCTATAGTTGAATGTCACAAAATACTACATTGCTCAGACCTTTGATTATAGGAGTTGGGACGTCATGTTGAGTTTGTACAGGACATTAGTGAGGCCTCTTCTGGAGTACTGTGTCCAGTTCTTGTCACCCAGTTATAGGAAGGATATCATTAAGCTGGAGAGGGTTCAGAAAAGATTTACCAGGATATTGCCGGGAATGAAGGGTTTGAGTTATAAGGAGAGGCTGGATAGGCTGGGACATTTTTCCACTGGACTGTAGGAGGTTGAGGGGTGACCTTGTTGAGGTTTATAACATTGTGAGGGGTCCTAAGGTGAATGGCAGGTGTCTGTTTCCAGGATGGGGGATTTCAAGACCAGGGGACATATTTTTAAGGTGAGAGGAAAAAGATTTAAAAACATATGAGGGGCAACTTTTTTACACTGAGAGTAGTTGGTGTGTGGAATGAACTTCCAGAGGAAGTGGTGGGTGCAGGTACAGGTACAGTGTTTAAAAGGATAAGTACATGAACAGGAAAGGTTTGGAGGGATATGGGCCAGGAGCAGGCAGGTGGGACTAGTTTAGTTTGGGGTTATGTTTGGCATGAACTGGTTGGACTGAAGGATCTGTTTCTGTGCTGTATGACTCTATGACTATGGTATCATTCATTTTTTTTTATTCCATCATAGATGCGTAGAATAATTTGCAGCACAGGATAAGACCATTCAGCCCATTGAGGCAGTGCTGGTGTTATGTGCAACCTTTTCTGTTTCAGCTAAGAGGGGAATTGGAGCATGAAGCTATTCCACAAAAGTTTCCAGGCTTGTGATTTTGCTGGGGGCGTGGCACTGACTTCGCGAGACTGGGCAGAGAGCTTTGGAAGATTTGTAAGCAAATCTTTTTGCTGTCACAGGATGTGAGAGTGCAACTCAGGACGCTATTTGGAACCTAGCACTAGGCGGGTGATGGGGGTTGAACATCGGTGGCAGTGCAGGGAGACCACTGAGACTGACTTCCAAGAAATAATACGGAAAAACCCATCGCTGAGGTTCTGCACAGATACTTAACGCACTCAGAATACAGTCACGTATGTGCTGTTTTACACAGGCTTATGCTGCCTCTTTAAAAATGGCCTTAAAGAGACTGCAGAGAGAGATGTAACCTGAGCATGTGGAGAACTTGGATAGAATTTCACTGGTGAACATTCCTGCCTCAGCCAGCAAGCACAACCAAAACACCCGTGTTAGTTTCCTGTCTACACCATTCAGATGGATTTGCTTATTTTGAGAGGCTAAATAACAATGTTAAGTTATTCCAGACAGGAATCTGATGTGTAATATAGTGCACTATAAATAATGTACAGGGAAATTAAGTCTGGTTCGCCCTCTGTTATAATCCTGAGATGCCGGTAGCTCTGCCTTGTCAGTAGATCTGACATAAAAGGAATTTCTTTAACACATGCTACAGCCAAAGGTTTATATTTGTCACAGTGTGCTCTAGAGAGCGTCAGTTCTGGACATGACCTTGACAATGATAGCATAGAATTTATGATGATACAAAGGATCTTTTACAATGAAGGGTCCATCCTTCAGAGGAAGGTTCTGTGCAGGGAATGAGCAGTAGTTGGAGAGGCCACTGATTTGTTTTCTTTATGGAAGTAAAACCAACCAGAGATATAACCAGGAGTATAGCAAGTGCTACCAATCTTTTGCACTTTCTCTGATGGGGTTAATAATGGGTTAAATGCTTAGCATCATAGCGAAGGCACCGGGAGCCTGGGTTCCATTCAGATTTGGAATTGTTTGCAGCTCTGTGCCAGCCGGGACATCGGGAAACATGCACTGGTTAAAGAGGAATGCGATTAAAGTATAACAAGCAATAAATGTCTGATTGCTGTGTTGCAGCAGCAACAATGCTGTAGGCACGCACTGGGCTCTCTCATCAAAGCAGCAACCATGCAAAATGGTGCTAAATTTTAAAATGGAGCCAGGGTGGGGGGGAGACGTGACTGAGATGTATAAAAATATGAATGGGTAGGTAGCGAGGAACCTTTTCCCCCCCAATGGAGGGATCAGTGGCTGGGTTGGGGGTTGCTCGGGGAGGTGGGGTGTAAAATTAAGGGAAGGGGCCAGAGGTTTAGAGAAGCTGTGAGGAGGAGGCAATGGCCTAGTGAAATTGTTAATCCTCTGGATCTAGGTAATGTCTGGGTACCTGGGTTCAAATCCTGTCATGGCAGATGGTGAAATTAAGAGTGTAATGATGACTGAAAGTCCATTCTTGATTGTCAGGAAAAACCCATCTGGTTCAACGTAGCTATGAACGTAGAACAATACAGTACAGGCGCCCTTTGGCCCATGATGTTGTGCCAACCTATTATCCTGGTTCACTAATGCCCTTTAGAGAAGGAAACTGCCATCCTTACCTGGTCTGGCCTACATGTGACTCCAGACCCACAGCAATGTGGTTGACTCTTTGCTGGCCTAGCCAGGGGCACCCTCATCCTGTGAATGAATTTTTAAAAAAACATTCACCCAGAGGGTGGTGGGAATCTCGAACTCACTGCCAGCAAAGACAGAAGTGCTGATAACATTTAAGAAGTGTTTAGATGTGCACTTGCAATGCCAAGGCGCACAAGGCTGTGGGTCAAGGGATTGGAATGGTTAGGTGATTATTTATGACTGGTGCAGACATAATGGGCTGAAGGGCCTTTTTCTGTGCTGTCCTATGACACCACTGTTCAACTTGCAGCTTCCAGCCTGTACGAGTACGGACAGCACTTTGCTGCTGACACTCCCAATTTCTGATACACCCAAATGTGTAGTTCTGGGTCAGTGATCCAGGCCCTAGCGATTTAGTTTGAGCTGCTTCATATGAGTTAGGCTGAAGCAGGGCTAATCCTTCAGGTGTGATGAATTGTGTACCATGAGGTTGGCCCCAGTCCATTTCCAATGGCAACTGGCTTCTCAATTTCATGGACCAAACAGCCAAAATCAGTATCGGCTCAACTATGAAATTAAAACCCTTTCCGCAGTAATAGAAAACAACGAACTGCAGATGCTGGAAATCTGAAACAAGGACAGAAACTGCTGGAGAAACTCAGCAGGTCTCACAGCGTCTGAGGGAAGAGAAACAGAGTTTATATTTGTCACAGTGTGCTCTAGAAAGCGTCAGTACTGGACATCACCTTGAGAATGATAGCATAGAATTTATGATGAGTCCAGTGGCTCTTCATCAGTCCTTCATGCAGCCTGTGTTGGTGAAGAATCACTGGCATTGTAGCTTTGAGGAAAAGGTTTTACTGCTCCAGCCAGACTCACCACCAAAGCCCTGGGCAGCTATCGCCTAGAACAGCACCAGCTTCCGTGGTTTCTGCCCATGGCCTGAAATTGTTGTGAGGCCAGTAGCTTTGCTCCTTAGGATGGCACGGTGGCTCAGTGGTTAGCACTGCTGCCTCACAGTGCCAGGGACCCGGGTTTGATACCACCCTCAGGTGACTGTCTGTGTGGAGTTTGCACATTCTCCCCGTGTCTGTGTGGGTTTCCTCTGGGTGCTCCAGTTTCCTCCCATGGTCCAAAGGCGTGAGGGCTAGGGTGGGTTGGCCATGCTAAATTGTCCATTATGGGCAGGCTGGGTGGATTAGCCATGTGAAATGCTGGGGTTAGGTAGGGGGCTGGGATGCTCTTCAGAGGGTTGGTGTGGGCTGAATGACCTGCTTCCACATAGTAAGGATTCTATGAACCTTCCCCTCTCTTTATTTACTTCAGTGCGGCTCATTTTACTCTTTGGCAGCACCTTTCTTGAACCCTCCTGCCTATCAGATGAACATTCTGGCTCGTTCTCTCAATGCCATTAGAAGTTAAAAAAAAAGAACTCCCTCAGAATGTGCAGCCTCTGATCCCAACCCCTCATTATATTCCCAGTCTGCCTCAAACTGTGGCTTTTCTATGTTTGCGCCCCACCCCGCTCCTCCCCACATCCCAACCTCATCTTTTCCTACAGGAATGTTTACAAGGATTACAGACAGCTGGAGCTGGCTTGTGAGACCCAGGAGGAGGTGGATAGTTGGAAAGCTTCATTCTTACGGGCTGGTGTTTATCCAGAGAGAGTTGGGGTATGTGTCCTCATATATACATACATATATATAACATATCTGTATATCAATTTGTCTGTATATTCAGATAGTTGTGTCTGTTTAATGCATGTGAACATATAGTACATGTGGATCCATGTATAATATTTTTAAAATATATTTTTATTTATACATTCATATTTTATATAATATTTTTAAAATATCATATTTTATTTATATATTT